CTCTTCTTTTTTTTTGTTCTTTTGGTTTTGTTTTATTATTTTTTCGTACCTTCTAATGTCATTTGTTTCCCTTTGCCCAGTTCTAGTTTTTTTAACTTTTAATTTATTTTTAGTTTTTAACATTTATTCCCATAAACTTTTGAGTTTTAAATTTTCTCCCCCTCCCTCCCCTCCCCCTCCCTGATGGCATGCAGTCTGATATAGGCTCTATATATACATTCCTATTAAACATTTGCACATTAATCAAGTTGTAAACAAGAATTAGAACCAATAGGAGGAACCGCAAGAAAGAAGAAACAAAACAGAAGGGGAAAAAAAGATCAAATAGTATGCTTTAATCTGTATTCAAACTCCATAGTTCTTTGTCTGGATGTGGATAGCATTTTCCATCAGAGACTTTTGGAGATGTCTTAGATCCTTGCATTGCTGAGAAGGGCTAAGTCTATCAACGTTAGTCATTGCATAGCATGGCTGTTAACTGTGTACAACATTCTCCTGATTCTGTTCACTTCACTCAGCATCAGTCCATACAAGTCTTTCCAGGTTTTTCTGAAGTCTGCCTGCTCATCATTTCTTATAACACAATAGTATTCCATTACGTTCATATACCACAACTTGTTCAGCCATTCTCCAATTAATGGGCATCCCCTCAATTTCCAATTCTTTGCCACCACAAAAAGAGCTGCTATAAATATTTTTGTACATGTGGGTCCCTTTCCCATTTGTGTGATCTCTTTGGGATACAGACCTAGAAGTGCTATTGCTGGACCCTTTGGGTATAGTTCCAAATTGCTCTCCAGAATGGTTGGATCATTTCATAACTCCACCAACAATGTATTAATGTTCCAATTTTCCCACATCTTCTCCAACATTTATCATTGTCCTGTTTTGTCATGTTAGCCAACCTGATAGGTGTGATGTGGTACCTCGAAGTTGTTTTGATTTGCATTTCTCTAATCAGTAGTGATTTAGAGCATTTTTTTATGTGACTAGATAGCTTTAATTTCTGCATATGAAAACTTCCTGTTCATAACCTTTGACCATTTATCAATTGGGGAAATGACATATTCTTATAAATTTTACTCAGTTCTCTACATATTTTAGAAATGAAGCCCTTATCAGGGACACTGGTTGTAAAAATTCTTTCCCAGTTTTCTGCTTCCCTCCTAATCTTGGTTGCATTGGCTTTGTTTGTGCAAAAACTTTTCAACTTATTGTAATCAAAATTATCCTTTTTGTATTTCATAATATTTCCTAACTCTTGTTTGGTCATAACTTCTTCTGTTCTCCATAAATCTCACAGGTAAACTATTCCTTGCTCTCCTAGTTTGCTTATAGTATCAGCCCAGTTCTAGTTTTTAAGGAGTTATTTTCTTTCTTAAGTTTTTGGATCTTTCCGCAGTTGGTTGACTTTCTTTTCATAATTCTTTTAATTTTCTAGAATTGCTGTCATCTTTTTTTCTATTTTTTCCTCAACTTCTCTTATTTGATTTTTAAAGTCCTTTTTAAGTTCTTCCAAGGACTCTTTTTGAGCTTGTGATCACTTGACATTTTTCTTTGAAGTAGGTGTGGCTTTTTAAAACTTCATTATATTCTTCTGAGTATGAACCCAGATCTTTATTCCCATAGAAGTTATCTATGGTAGGGTTCTTGCACTGTTGCTTACTCATTATCATTATTATTATCATTTTATTTTTAGTGGGTTATTATTATAGTCAAGTTCTAGTCCAGAATTGTGGGGAGCGATGCCTTAGGCTTCAGGGTTTTCTCTAAGCACTGTCTGGGGGCCCTTCCTTGGGCACTGTTCTCTGTCCCTGCGCCATGGCTTGGGCCCCCAGCCATGCTGTCACTGCAAATGCTCTTGCTCCCTGCAGTTCCTCCCATGGCTGCAAACTTCAGCTCACTCCTCTGCCCTGGTACTGAAACCAGGGACTCTGCTTTTCTGCAAATGCTCACAGCCAGCAGGGTTCCTGTTCTTCTGCTTACCACATGAGATTGCCCCTCCTCACTCACAGCGGCAGTCCAGATCCAAGTGTGGTCAGCACAACTGGGCCTGGTGTCCAACAACAGAGGAAGGTCCTTCATCTTCCCCTACTCAGTTCTCCAACCCCCACACTGTCCTTGAGGTGAAAATTCCTGAAGCTGAGATCTGCCCCAGCTGCCCCAGGGCTTTTTGTTTGTTGATTCTGAGAGTTATGCTAGGGGTGTTAGCACTTCAAATAAGCCAACTCTCTGTCCCTGGAGGTATGGGGTTTTTCCTGAGGTCCTCCCAAGTTGTCTCAGGAGGACAACTGCTTTACCTCAACTTTTAATTATTTCTGCTGCTCAAAGTTCACTTTAAGGTGATGTTTTATCTTGTTTGTAGGAGAAATTTGGAGAGTCCAGTATTTCCTGTCTTATTCCGCCATCTTCCTCCTTTCTTCTTTTAAGATTATCAGAAGATAATAAAATTCAACCTCAGGACTTCCATCATATTTGATGTCTAAGATTTCTGATGATATTTTGGTATTTAGAAGAGGCTTGTATTATCCCCTGCTCTCCATTAGAATGCATATACTTTTTCCATATAAAGTTTTTCCCCAGTTTGTTACTTGTTATTTATTTTTTTAAAACTCTTTGCTCCCGTGTTTGTATTTCAAAATTTCTACTCTAATCTGGAAGCTTGGAAGTCTTCCATTTCATCAATTTTTTTTCCCTTTTAAGGATAATATTTCATTTTATTGGATAAGTTGTTATTTATTGTTAGTCTGTATCTTTTGCCTTTTAGAATATGGTATTTCTTGTTTCCCTTTCTTTACAGTGTTAAATTTTGTGATCTTGACTGTGATTTCTTGGTTGCTGTTCAGTCTTTTCAGTCATGTCTGGCTTTTCCTGATGCCATTTGGGGTTTTCTTGGCAGAGGTACTGGTATGATTTGCCATGTCTGTCTCCAGCTCATTTTACTGATGAAGAAACTGAGGGGAACAAGGTTAAGTGATTTGCCCAGGGTAGTAAGTGTCTGAGGCCAGATTAGAATTCAGGTCTTCCTGACTCCAGCCTTGGTGCTCTAACATGCTACCTACCTGCCCCAGATTCCTTGGTACTTTAACTTTTTCTGGCTGTGTGCAGTATTTCCTTTTTGACCTTTGAATTTTTACTTTGGCGTTACTGGGAGTTTTCATTTTGGAGTTTGAAGAAGGGATTGGTGGATTTGTTTTTTTCTTTTCACTTTGTGTTCTGATTCTAATATGTGTGGGTAGTTTTCTTTCATGATTTCTTGAAATATGATATCCAGACTCTTTTTGGTCATGGTTTTTAGGTAGGCCTGTGAAATTGATCCTCTTTTTGATTTGTTTTCTAGGTCATTTGTTTAATATAAGACATCTTACTTTTTCTTTTTTTTTTTGCAGTCTTTTTCACTTTGTTTTAATATTACTTTATATCTAATAGAGACATTAACCTTTGTTTGGTCCATTCCAATTTTCAGGTTTTTGTTACTTGGGGAAGGTTTTATACCTCTTGTGCCAAGCTGTTAATCCTCTTTCAAGTCTTTCTTCTATAACTTTCATTTCTTTGTTGTATTGCTCTTATTTAATTTCTAATACCATATAAAACTCTTGCATCGTTTCTTCTCTGAATTCCGATTTGTTGGACGAGTTGAATTTTTCTTTGAGGTTTTAGTTGTAGATGTTTTAAAATTATTCTTTTCTGCATGTTTGTATGGTAAGCATCCCTGACATTATAATGATTTATCTTTTTGTTTTTGTTATTTATTCATTTTTCCAACAATCTTCTCTAAGCAGGCCAAGTGTTGCTGTCTTGTCATGGAATTCTTGGGGATAAATTTGTGATCTTAATTTGCCTGAGGGATCCCCGTGCTAATTCCTGGGTGGGGAGCTGAGTGTAAGATCTGCTCAGAGGTCTGGGGACTGAGCCCTTGCTTTTAGCCCTCTCCAGACTCCAAACTGTTGGCCTGGGCCCAAAGCTGAATCTGTGGTCAATTCTGGGCACTATGCACATCTCAGCCTGCCTGACCTGTCCTTAAGTGCAACAGAGGCAGTGATATCAGAATAAATAGAGGGCTAGGTTTAGATTCAGGAAGACTTGGATTCAAGTTTCTGCCTGTGACATCTACTTAGCTATATTACCATGGGCAAGTCACTTAACCACTCAGTGCCCCAGGCAACTTTCTGAGATTATAAATTACAGACAAGTTATCAGTCTGCATCCATGCAAGGAGTTTCCACACTAGGACTTCCTATGTAGATGAAATAGCAGGTCCCCTGCCCCCTAAAAAAGGTAATAAAACCAAAGAAAAGAAAATTGAGCCTTGTTTTGTTACCTTAAAGATATTCCCTTGAATCTATTTAGCAAAAGTTTAAAGACTTTTAAATTTACATTTTTTCCCCTAAGTTTCTAAGATGTTGATTTTACATTGTTAATGAGTAAATTAGGTGAGGTACTAATAGAGTGCAGGCTTCAAGTAAGAAAGACCCAAGTTCAAATCTTGCCCCAGGCACTTACCAGCTATGTGACTGGGAAAGTCACTTAACCTCTCCTAGCTTCAGTTTCCTCATCTACAAAATGGGGGTAATTACACCTTTTTCACAGGATTATTGGGAAGATCAAATGATAATACATGTAAATCGCTTTGTGAACCTTAAAACACAATGCAGATATTAGCTGTTGTTATTATTACCATCAGAGCCAAATAGTATGTGATTTTATTCTATCTAATAGCATCTCTTGGGAGGTAAGAAGCTAATCCCTTTTTTGTCATTGTTGTTATGATAACCATAAAAAACGTGTGGCAACATAGAGTTTGCAGTTATACCATCCCTAAAATATGGGGGTTTACACGTTTTATGAGCAATTAAAATATGTAGCCTTAGATGCTTTTAAAAAATAAAATGAAAAATAACCCCCAAAGGACCTAGAGATTATTTTAGTGGCCTTTGATCATTTTAATTATCATCAGTGCTTTTTCTTTGAGTTAAAATTAATTTTTAATGTGTCCTTAGGTTAAGACATCAGAATTTTATAGATATTCTCGGCAGCTACGACATGAAGTTGACCAAGCATTGAATTACTTTCATAGTGTTCACCAGCAGCCTTTGATGGAAATGAAATCCTGCCGTATCCGTTCTGCCAAACCCCAGACTGCAGTATTCAGAGGAATGATAGGACATAGCATGGTAAATAGTAAAATTCTTCTTTTACACAAACCACGGGTCTGGTGGGAGCTGGAGGGTCCACAAGTACCTCTACGACCAGACTGCCTTGCCATCGTGAATAACTTTGTGTTCTTGTTAGGCGGGGAAGAACTGGGGCCAGATGGTGAATTTCATGCTTCCTCCAAAGTGTTCAGGTATGACCCAAGACAAAATACTTGGTTGAGAATGGCAGATATGTCTGTACCACGTTCAGAATTTGCAGTTGGTGTTATTGGTAGGTACATCTATGCTGTGGCTGGAAGAACAAGAGATGAGACATTTTATTCAACAGAGCGTTATGACATCACTGAAGACAAATGGGAATTTGTGGATCCTTATCCAGTCAATAAATATGGACATGAGGGGACAGTGCTTAGTAACAAGTTGTTCATCACTGGTGGAATTACCTCATCTTCCACTTCCAAACAAGTGTGTGTATTTGATCCTAGTAAAGAAGGGACAGTGGAACACCGAACAAGAAGAACTCAAGTAGTTACTAATTGTTGGGAGAATAAGTGCAAAATGAATTATGCGAGATGCTTTCACAAAATGATTTCTTATAATGGTAAGCTTTATGTGTTTGGTGGTGTCTGTGTGATCTTAAGGGCCTCTTTTGAGTCACAAGGATGCCCTTCCACAGAAGTTTATGACCCAGAGACTGATCAGTGGACTATCTTGGCATCAATGCCAATTGGTAGAAGTGGTCATGGTGTAGCTGTATTGGACAAACAAATAATGGTTCTTGGAGGCCTTTGCTATAATGGTCATTACAGTGATTCTATTCTCACATTTGATCCGGAAGAAAATAAATGGAAAGAAGATGAGTACCCACGGATGCCCTGTAAACTTGATGGTTTACAAGTATGCAGCCTGCATTTTCCTGAATATGTATTAGAGCATGTTAGACGTTGCAGCTAAAAATGTACATCTCCCTTAAAAGAAAGAAAGCAAAGCGTAGTATTTAAGACTCTTAAGTACTTGTTGGTGTTGTAGTAGTTACTAAATGCATAAAGAGAAACAGGGAATGCACCTCATCAGTTTTACTAGCAATGCCATTGTTATGGTATTGTAAAATTTTCTTTTCTCCTTGCATTTTCCCCCTTTTCAGTGGCCTCATGAGCTCATGCAGTAAATTCATTCTAGAAAATAGCAGTTACACTTATAGCCTCTGGAAGCAGTTGAATAGAGTGATCCACTTGTCTGGAAAATTGATTTTATACCTTAAAAAACATTTTAAATTGTCAAGGTAGGATTTGGTAGTCTTCTAGAAGAACTACCTTCAAGTGTCATTTAAAGTGATTTCAGTCATTTCTTCTATCTAAAGTCTTTTGCATTGCTCATTATGTCAGTGTTTCACTTTTGGTTTTGTCATACAAACAGCTTAAAACTTAACTTTTTGCATGGCTTTTGTATAGTAGTCTGCTGAAAATGCAAAAATATAAATTTTCTACTAAATTAACAACTTTTTATACTCAAAAACACTATTTCTATGCTGCCTTCTATTGTCTGCATTGTGTTTGTAAGTGAAGAAAATATATGCACATGTGAATACATAATAAAATCTATATACAGTGCATCTTTTTGTGTGGTTAGGATATTACATTTTTAATTAGTGCACAAATTGTCAGTCATACTTGTTGAGTTTTAGATGTAGTAACATCTTTCCATATATTAATATTAAAAAAAAAATTAAAGTAACTGGAGGCCTCATTTGGTATCAAAGTACCCTATCTTTGATACATACTGATTGATTCAGTAACATTTGAACTCTTTATATTCACGTTACATATATAAACTCATGAAAATTAAGATTTTATATTTATTTAAAAAGTAAATATTAAGGTAAACCACATCAATGTTTGTCTTTCACTTTTGAATATGTTTCTCTTTTCAGTATATTTGAATGTCATTCTACATGTAGTGAGAACTGGATATGTCTAAGCCCTAATTCTGCAGTGTGCAAGCACTTTTTACCACTCCAAAGGTGGTTATACTCTACTGTATGTAATTGAGATTCAGTAGTGGTATTATTTATAGTTTGTATTTGAATCTAATAATAATTTTCAGGTATCATCCAAGGGTGTTGGATTATGAAAATGAGAAACATAAATTTTAAAATAGGCCATATTTACCATTTCTTTACTAAGAGAGAAATAATAAAATGTCAGCAGCTATTATCTTTACCCTCATGCCCTTTTCTTCCTTTAAAAGATTTTTGGTGATATCATTCAAATAATTATAACACATTACAAAATAAGTTTAACTTCCATTTCCTCTGCCTCTCTTCCCTCCACTCCCACTTCTGTCAAAGTGGGGCTAGGTACTTCTGTTATTAAGCATAAACTAATAGCCCTTACAGATTTAGAACTTAATTCTAATTGCAGACATTATGAACAAACTGTTATCAGATTAATAATTACTTCCTCACACTTTTCTTATGAAATTTACTAGCTTATTTTTTTTCTTCCAAACTGTCTAGTGGCATTGGTAATCAAACCCTCATCTTCTGTCTTTTGTACTAAAGTACCACACATCATGAGGAATCATAACCCCAAAGTTAAAAAATGATCAAGAACAATTTTTAAAAATACATTTATTAAGAAGGGTGCTTTAGGACTAAATGTACCTTTTAATTATTTAAACTCAAATAAAATTGTTTAGTTGAGTGTAACCTAAGAAATTTATTTCCTGTAGCATGCCATGACCAAATTGGTGTCATTTTTCTCATCCTCTAATTGGCCTTCAGTAGGCTATGCCTGCACTGGTGAGTGTAAGATGTAAGTAAGACATTTGTGCAATATTACAATGCTGTTATATAAATTTTCTAGTTTTATACAAGTTTTGACTGCTGCCATCATTGAAAATAATGTGGCAAGGTGAAAGAACTTCCAAAGAAGAAACTTCGTGGTAACTCTAACCCCGCCCCCAAATCCAATGTAGATCATACTGTGAAGTAAAATCTGGCTTAAAAATACCAAGATTGTTCATTTTTGTGAGTAACAAGCAGTAAGTAAATGAGTAGGTATATAAAAATCGCAAACTAACCTTTAATTTGAGAAAAGTCATTATTGTTCATCTGCTTAAAAGACAACATTTCATTAAAATAACCTTTTATAATTCAAACAACAGCAAAGTCTATGATTGAGCAAGGGATTAATCTGGAACTGTTCATCTGAGAGCAAAGCTTGTAAAGAAGTTTTAGTTTTAGGATATGATTGTTAATTTCTTTTCAGTTTTTCTAGGAAATAAATTGATCATTGTTTTCCCAGAGTTATGTACACAAGAGCCTTCTTCATCTTTTTAAAAAACAGACAAATTCCTGACATCTTAATATTTGCTACAATTTTACCTTTTCCTTTTAATAAGATTTTGTGAGCAGACTGTCTTGGTAAGGTGTTTTTGGTTTTTTTTTTTCCTCTAAAACTGCTAAAAGTTTTTCTTCCTAGCTAAATGCAGACTGAGAAAAGTTTCTTCTTTTTGTACTCTTGATATATTTCATTCATCTTTATATCTTTACAAGTGCTTCATCTTATTATAGATGAAGAAAACAAGGAAAGATAAAAAACACATTTTATTCTGGTGCCTACATCCAGGGGTTTTCTAACTGTAAGTGTATTTTTGTTCTGCTTTTGCCGTTTTCCTGCTTAGCTATGACTAGATAGCCATTGTTAGGGAGAGATCTGAGAAAATAGTCAAGTTCATATGCTTGATAATTTATGTTAAAGGTAATAAGGCCAAGATTAAAGTTTATAAAACAAACGCCTGTGAAATCCTAACTTGAACAATGGAGTTCAGTCTCATGAAAATCCTCTCTAAACTGATGTTACTGGTAATCAGTTTTGAGCATTAAGAATAATTGATGTTTGCTTGGGTTCTGAATGTATAATGTCTGAGAGAGAACTTTAGCTATGTATATTTATATTTCTAATGGATATTATTTTAAATCCATAACTAATTTACATTCCCTTATAAAATTGTGATTTAACTGTAGAGATTTATTTTTGTTAAACTATAGAAATGGTTTTCATAAGGATTTTTTTCAAGTTTATTTTACTATATGTTTTTTTCCCCCGGAACCATTTGTGCATTTTTATCAATATGTTATGCCTGTGGTCAAAACAGTGTTTTTTAAAAGTTCAGATAAGAGATTTAAAACTATACAGTGTCACTGTTGTGATCTTTCTACATACTTAATGTAAGTAAACTTTTTAACTTTTTGACAAATAGGTCATTTTTATTTGCCCTTCTTTATTAGACAGTTTGTTTCCTTGCACTTCTTTAGTCTTCCTTTTCATGGTGATATGAGTTCTGATGCTAATTTGCTTAAAGAAAAAATCTTGTAGTGCAACCTTTTCATAAAATACAAAGCTTTCCCACTGACGCTTTTGTTATTAAAGATGTGATTAGGAGAAATGCTACTGGTTTTTAAAAACAGTTTAATTAATAGAATATTATTTTTTCCTGAGACAATTTTCTATTCCTTCGTCATGCCCTGCACTTTGCTAGAGTTAAGGTAATAAATTGTGAAAAATTGACTGAGCCCTTCTCTAACCCTCTTTAAATGTGTACCTTCTGAAGCCTCATTCTAGAAAGCATGCTGTCCTGATGTTAAAAGGCACACTCATCTAGTGTGTGAAATAATAAAGTAAGAAACAGATGGAAAGGTTTGTCTTAAGTGAAATTAAGTATTAGAATGTTTTATAATGAATTATTTGAGATAAGTACTCTCCTAGAAATGTTAAATATTCAGTGGGCTCTTCATTTTTATATATGTATATGTGGTGTTAGGTCATAACATTTCAGTTTGTATAAGCTATCAGAAATTTTTGGAGAATCTATAATTCGAAAGTCTCAAAAATGAAAATATTAATATAGGCCAAAATATAAATTAGACATTGAGAAATATTTGGCAGTCAACAATGAAAATGTATTGCTAATGGCAGCTTTCTTAGGTCACTTAGCCTAACCATACATTTTAAATCTTGTTTGCACATATAACCATTTTTAGGGATCATGAGCTTGATTGTATCTTTAGATTAAACTCAATTTGAAGGAGGGGACCCCAGAAAATTAAAGAACTTCCCCTCAAACAAGAAAGTACTGAAATTTAGTCAAACTACCAATAGTTAAATGTTAAGTAAGAGTAGAGTGAAGTAATAGATAAACTCATGGAAGTTCATTATCCTAACAATACTTTAATATAACTTAAATACTAATAATATAAGCTATAATAACATTGAGAAAATTCCATTTTTTACTTTTTAGTTTGTTTCCTATTGATACTCTTGAATTATTTTATAAACCTTTGGAAATAATTATCATAGGTTGAAGAATTCTATTAATCTCATGTTACCAGTATGTCAGTAAGGGACGGGTATTTGCTTTCTAAAAGAATGTTTCCAATAAGGTAATTGGAGAAGTTATTTTCTACCTAGCCTGTATGCACCATGGCTCTTGGGCATACGTTGTCTATAGAAATATTTTGAGCTTTTATGTACGTTTTGGGCTAGTAGTCTTAACAGCAACCCTAGGATTGTTATAAAATTCTTAGAATAATTTAAGGTTTGCCTTTTATAACTGTTTTGAAAAGCCTTTACATTTTTGTCAGGTAATTTTCCCAAACTGTGGATACAATCTGTTCAGACATATATGTATACGTTATCCATTCTGTTTTTAAATTGAAAAAAAATGTAAAAACTGTGTATAAAGAAATTGTAAATAAAATATTTTTAATCTTTAAAACTTACTCTTTGTCCTTTTTAATTAATATCTACATATATACTCTTACTTTCCAATTCCCTATGTGAAATCACTTAATTTCTTAATATCACAAACTGGTTTATGTTCACAGTTGGAAGTAAGATTTCTGAATATGTCTTCAATCTTAGTCTGTGGGAAATTATTTAACATGATTTTCAATAATTAAGTTTTATCAGAGAGCTTTTGAAGGGTTGAGACATCAACTGTCACTTTTATGCGTTTTCACTTTGTTGATGAATTTTAGTTTGTGGTAACTAAAAGTCTGCACCCAAATTGGATGGCCTTTTTTGACTCTGAACTTTTGGTTTTTTTTGGCTAGGCAGTTGGGGTTAAGTGACTTGCCCAGAGTCACAGATAATGAGCGTTATGTGTCTGAGGCCAGATTTGAACTCAGGTTCTCCTGACTCCAGAGGTGGTGCTTTATCCATTGTCCCACCTAGCTGCCTCTTTGATGAATAACTCTTAAAGGCCTTCCTGAAATTTTGGGTGTAGGCATAAACAGATCTGCGTCAATAAGAGTGCGTATGGCAGGTTTCCTCAGAAACACATCTTGAAATTGATCAATCTGCCACCTAGAAGTTTCACTTAATTACCAATATGACAAAATATTACCTTGCTGACTAGTAGCCCTAGTATTATATTGTTTTGAGATGATCAATCCAATATTGAATGGGTAGATTTTTTTTGTTTTTAAATTACCTATATAATTGTGTATTTTGTGACTTTTATCAAGTAACTTTTAACTTTCTAAGCCTCATTTTCTTAATAAAATGTGAATTTTTCTAAGATAGTTTACAATGCTTAACATTCTGTGAAACTTCCAGTCTAGCTGAGGAGACAGGATAAATTTCCCTAGCTAAATAAATGTGACCATCTTTTTCTAAGAAGTGCCTTTCTTCTAAGAAAAAAATTGCAACCATAACAGTAGTTGACATTTTAAAAATAATCTCACTTGCTCATCGTACAACTCTGTGAGAGAAATAGGACAAGTACTATTATCCCCATTTCGCATTGAGGATACTGAAGCTCAAAGAGATTGTGACTTGCCCAAAGTCACAGAGGTAGTATCAGATACAAGGTTTGATGCCAGGTCACTCTTAACTATTCTAAGTAGTCTAGCATTCTTTCCACTAGACCAAACTGCATTTTTATACCCATGTAATTTGCAATATAAATACCTTTCCCTGAATTTAGATCAAGTACTTTGTGACTAAAGTACCAAAGATAATTGAGAACTATTCAAATCAGTAGTTGCATTGGTACCTCCAAGGTAACTTTTTTTTTCAAAATACTGTGCACCATAATCCATGTGAAATGTGGAAAGACAATATGAAATAGATTGATCACATAGCTATCCAAATAGAAAAGGGACTGTATTGCCTGAACAATGAATTAGATATACCTCCAAGAAATGGACACCTGAAAAAGGTATTAATTTATAGGCTATTCCAATCTTCTTTCCCAAACCCTGCCACAATACTCTTAAATGTATATATCTACCCCAGTCTCTCTCTTGAGCTTCAGACATATACAAAATGTCTTTTGGACATCATAAACTGGATGCCTTTTGTAGTCATTTAAAACTCAACATGCCAACAACAGCTCGTTATTGCTGCTCCCCAAAATCTTACTAAATTTTTCTATCACTGTCAAGGGCATCACCAGTCACTCAGCCTTTAACCTTGGTTTCATCCTTGACTTTTCACTCTTCCTTACCACACTTAGGGGCAGTGAGGTGGCGAAATGGATGTGCTGAGCCTGGAGTCTTGACTTCATCAAATATGGCTTCAGACACTTAGTAGCTGTGTGACCCTGGGCAAATCACTTAGCCCTGTTTGCTTCAGTTTCCTCATATAAAATGAGCTGGAGAAGGAAATAGCAAACCACAGCAGTATCTTTGCCAAGAAAACCCCAAATGGATTCATAAAGAGTCGGACTTGACCTGAACAATAATACACGCCACTTATCCAATTGGTGGTTAAAATGTTTTTGCCTCCACATCAGCTATCATTTCTATCCTTTTTTCTCTACCCATATAGCCACAGCCTTAGTTCATATACTTTTTGCCTCTCACTCTTTCCTTTCCTATGCCTCTTAGAGTTTTTATGTTGATTAAATATTTAGCTCGTGTGCTGCTTTCTACATAAAGCCTTAACTGATTTCCTCTCCCACACCACAGCTATGGAAAATTAAATTATTCTAAAAACAATTATTAGAATAACTGAATTTGGGAATTGGAAGGGACATCAGAATTTATCTAATTCAACACATATATGAAAGGAATCACTGTCATATGCTTGACAATAAGTCATCTCTGTTTATTATAGCTAAGTGCTATGGTGCATAGCACAGAACCTGGAGACAGGAAGACCTGAATTCAAATCCTGCCTTTGTTGCTAGCTATCTGATTTAGGCAAGTCCCTGAACTTCTCTGTGTCTCAATTTCCTCATCTGTAAAATGAGGGGAATAGTTTCAATCATCTCTTAAGATTCCTTCAAGTTTTAAATATATAATCTTATTAATCATATAAAAGTTTCCATTGAAGAAGAGCTCATCACTTCTCAAACAATTCATTCTACTTCTGAGCAGTTCTCACTGTTAGGAAGTTTTTCCTGACATGAATCCTTACTTTACCTCTGCACTGAGATG